AGCTGCACAGAGGAAGGCCAAGCCCCTCCCGGCTGAGGGACGCGGGTGTCTGGCCTCGGGAAGACAAGGGAGTGGAATTCCTTGTTTTAGCAGATTAAAGTGGAAAAATCCCGTGCCAGTAGAGGCAGGGACCCCATCTAATGACCTTCGACATCGGCTTGTATGTTTTGGAAAGCTCATAGCGAACAGAAAGCAGAGGCGGCTCCTTTAACCTGCTGTGGGGTGGCCCAGAAGATAGCCAGCCAACCTCAGTCTTGTTGGTGAATGGACCAGAGCTTCCCTTTTAAGACCAGGAGTCAGACAGGGATGCCCGCTGCCACACTAATCTGAACCCACGTGATGCCACGTGATCCCTCAGGCAGGATGGGAGTGGGTCTGTCCTATGACAATAGGGCACATTCCCCGGCTCTGGCCTCTGGTGTTTCGCCCACCTGCAGGGTGTCCGTGTCTCCCTCGGGCTGGGTCTGGGAGGCAGAGATGTGAGTTTGGGCAGTGGGGGTGAGGGAGGGGGCAGGGTCCCTGCTCCCAGGACTGACGCCCATGTTTCTGTCCCACATGGCGCCCGCCTGCCCAGAAGCTCACTGGATGGCGCTGCAGGGCCAGGGACGGGGCACTGTTGGACCACTGCATTGTGGCTCACAAGGCCCTCACTGTGGCAGGAAGGCAAGCAGGACGGCCTGGGACAGAAGAGGACGAAAGCAGCTCTGTGTCTCAGAAGACCACACGGCGGGTCACAGCACATCTGAAGACCATCGGAGGTGATCACGGCATGGGCGCAGCGCATGTGCAAAGGCCAGTCACCATCCGACTGGTCTCACTTCTGTGGGTGACACATCATCTCTCCTGGAATCTGGCACTGACCAGCATGAGGCGGACCACAGGTGCGGAATCCGCCCGAAGAGCCGGGAGAGTGGTAGGAGGGACTGCCATAGACTCACTGTAACTCTGCAGAAAACCCGTGGTGGGTATGAGCCTTGACCTCTAGGGAGCGTGAGCCTTGGGTGGGCTCCGGGACCCCCGGCCAGCATGGGCCTTGGTGGGCGTCAGGACCTCTGAGCCAGTGCAGAGCCAGCTTGTGCCCTCAGGACAGGCCCCAGTCACACAGCAGGTTGTGAACCACTGGCCCAGGGCAAAGCCCAGAGTAGCTGCTGTGAGGCCGTGGTGACATTGCAGGGCAGTGTGGAGCCAGGACCCCCCGGGTGCTGCCCCACCTGGAATGCGGATGCTGGCTCCCATGGACGGAGTGCAGGTGTACTGTCGTTGAGGAGAAGGCAGCTGTATCACTTGAGCAGATGCGGGTTTCCAAGTGCAGTGGAAGAAGGGGCACGTGCAGAAGGAAGTTGTGCAGGACGGAACTTGCGTTTATGGGGACACGCTGTGAGGGGAACCCCAGGCTGTCTGGATAGGTTTGTGCCTGCGCAGTCACTGCAGGAATCCGAGCACTGTCCTCGGAGCTCGCAGGAAGGTTCGCAGGTACTGGAGGGAGGGCTGCGTTACCAGCCCTGCTGCCCGGCTCCCCCTCCATCACTCTGTCTTTGGTTTTTCTTTACTTCTGATATAGCCAAATTTATTAATCTTTTCTCTTTTTTATCATTCTGTCCCGCTCGCCCCTGGAGTACATCGTTGGTCCTTGATGCAGCATTCAGCCATTCATGAGCGACGTGTAATACCCGGTCTTTTGATAATACCTGTCCCAAGCCGCTGGGCTGCCTCTTAGACCTGCTTGGGATGCCATCCTGGGAATGGCCCCACACTGGCCAAGGGCAGCTGGATGGGGCGGGGACGGGGGGGTCCTGCTGCCCGCCCACTGAGGGGCTGTTGTCTGTGGTGGCCTACCCAGGCTCTGCTCCTCTGCATGCTACCTGTGTGCCTGTCTTCCCGCCCGTCCTGGGCCAGATGGCCGGGGCGGGGAAGCAGCTGTTTTGGATGGGGTCAGGTGTGCTGGTGTGGGGTGGGCAGCTGGGCAGGGGCGTTCTCCGGGCTGGAAGGTGCAGCCTCCAGACGTGGGCCCGCGGTCAGACAATGGCCGCCACAGTCTGACATGTGGGGCCAAGGGGTTGTATGCGAAGCGCTGCTGTTTGGAACAGGCCACATGGTCCTACGTACCCGTGGCAAGCTCACAGGCCTTGGGAACAGGAGGGTGCCTCTTCTGCCTCAGGCTTCCTGGGTCCAGGGCTGACCCATGCCTACAAGCCCCCGGGGCAGCCGGCTGGGACTTTCTGGCCCCTGCAAGGACTCCACGGAACAGAGGGCCCATCTGTTTCGCCAGGCCCTAGGCTCCCGCCTCCGGGGATCTCATGTAATGGCCAGCGGCGGGCACTGTGGAAGCGACATGGGTTTCTGTGGGTTCCAGAGATCTGTCTGTAGCCTGTAATTCCAGAAAGAGCATTGGTAGGTGAGCTTTGGAAACGTTTAGTCCAGAATTTTGGCCGTGGGGGAATATCTCTTCCCGTGCGCACAACAGTCCCAATCTGTACTCCTATGAGGAGGGAAAAATCCCACCGGCTTGACGTTGTGTTTCTGAGGTGGGGGGAGGCTTGCAATCCCTTCCGGGAAGCCACTGTGTGTACCCCATGGGCAGGTGCACCACCCCTTGGAAATGCACACTCGCACACAGGAAGGAAGTTGGCTCCGGGTCTGGGATCCCAGTTGCAGCATTTCCCTGAATCCCCTGCTCTTGGAGAAGGTCAGGTGTACTGCCGGAGCCTCCCTCACAGAGCATACCCTGCTCTGAGCGCTCTGTGAATCTCTTTCCTTCCCCTACACTCCTGTAGGCTCCCGTCTATGTTTGGGTTTTGGTCCTGGGCGCCACCCCATTCCCCGTACCCTGTGTACCGTCTGCCTGCTTACCACCACCACCTCCATGTGGTTCTGTCCTCTGTCACTGTAGCCCGGGGGTACCCTTGGTGGAGCACACCGCAGGAGTGAGGGGGGCCTGGGGCAGAGGCTGGCCTCAGTGTGGATGCCGGCTGTCCCTGGGCATGCGGTGTGGACGTGGGCTGTACCCAGGCGTGTGGTATGGACGCAGGCTGTCCCTGGGCTTGCGGTGTGGATGCGGGCTGTCCCTGGGCATGGGGTATGGACACGGGCCATGCGGTTGGGTGCGGTTGGGGCACAGGGTCACCCCCTCCACTTGTCCACACCCACCCTGCCTTAACCAGCACAGCCCCAGGTGCCCCCGGGGGGGCCTTGCAGGACTGTCTTGCTGCCAGCCTAGGGCTGGGCTAACCTCGGAGAGTTAGTCTGGGGGACGGGCAGCTTGTAGGCTAGGGCTCTGCCGATGCACAGCGGCAGTGGTCTGAGCACAGCTGTTGACATTCCTGTCTGAGGACGAGTCTCGCCCATGTGAGCTGCCTTTGTGTGGGGAGAGTGGCTCTTCCAGCCTCTGTTGCGGGTCCTCAGGCCTCTGCCTGCCCCTGGCCCAGCTCGGCAGCTGTCCCTGTCTTTGAGGCTATCTGAGCTCCAGTGGGCCTGAAGGCCTACCATGCTGCCTGATGTGGACCCCTCCCGCATCCCTGTGCCCTTGGGCATGAAGCCCAAACCCTGGGATGGGAACTGGGGGTGCAGGTCACTGCCTCCTCCCTTACCAGCTGCTTTCCAGCCCAGTGTCCTAGCTCTGAGCTCACAGACACGTTCTTCCCGAAGGCCTTGCTGCCCACATGAGGCCTGCCTGTGCCTTGGGGACTTTTGGAGCTTCTCCTTCAGCCCACACCCATGCTGGTCATGGTGCAGCAGCTGGACCTCCAAGCCATGTGTTCTGCAGGGTCTGCAGGAACCCATCTTGGGTTCTTCTCACCAACACTCTAGTCTCCAGGGCCAGCTGGAACCCCGCTCCCCTGCAGCTTTCTGCTCAACCCCTCAGAGCTCACTGGTACCACATTGGCTCAGAGCACCCCTGGGGAGCAGGGCCAAAGCCTGGGGTGGGTCTTCTCAGGGTGCACACTGCATCTGAGTGTGAAGAGGGTGGGAGACATTGGCCTTTCCCTCTGTGTCCATCACTGCCCTCAGGCCTGCCTTTGTGGCTTCACCCTTCACGGTGTGTGTGTCTCTCCCACCTGCCTCCCTGCTCCTGACTCCAAACCGCAGGCCTAGCCCAGAATGGAGGGGCTTTGGAAGCCAGGAGCCCAGGAAGTCCCCAGGGAGCCTGGCCTTCAGGGTTGCTGCTGTGGTGTGCCACAGGCCCTGGTCTGCTGCAGGCTGGGGTTGGAGGGAGCTGTAGAAAGCCTGTGGGAGCCTGCCCAGTGGCAACCATGCCCCTGAGGGGCTTTAGAGGTGCAGCAGGAGGAGGGATGGAGCACCGTGTGGGGTTAAGTGTCAGGGAATGCCTGGCACCCCTGGCTGCTCCAGGTTGGCTGGCTGGGATGGGGGGGCTTGTTTCCTGTGATGCTCATGTTGGGGGAGGGTGTAGCTGGGCACCCATCCCTCCTGAGGGTTAAGGGTCTGGCCGGGGCTGGGCAGGGGTGTGCCTGGAGCCCAGATGTGGTGTCACCTGCGGGGGACCACTGAGATCTGTGGGTCAGAGCACCAATGGGAGGTCAGGATCAGTCCATCCCTGGATGAAGCACAAGAAACGGGGCTTGGAGGAGCCTGAGAGCATGTGACTGGCTCACAGGAGAGAGGTGGGGCTGCAGGAGAACCAGGAGATGGCCTGGGTTCCACTGGGAGGTGCTCAGTGGCCCAGGAGTTCCGGGAGGCCCCACTGGGACCTGCAGGGGCCTCTGAACAGGCTGCCAGAGACCCTCTCCAAGAGGCTTCAGGGCTGTGATGGGTCTGGGCCATCCCATCTGGGGTCGGCAGAGGGTGGGGGTCCTGGAGCGTGCACAGTCCAACTGGGTAAGCAGGCAGAAGAGCAGGTGGGTGTGTTGGATGTGGTTCCCTTGTGGCCTGGGCTGCTGCACCCCTCCTGGCCCTTGGAGCACATCCTGTGTGTGTGTGTATGTGTGTGTGTGTGTGTGTGTTTGTGTGCGTGGCGGCCCTCACCCTAGCTTCTCTGTGCCCAGGCTGACAGGCAGTGAGCCCCTGACCATTCTCCCACTGACCCTGGAGCCTGAGGCCGCCGCCCAGGCACACTACAAGGCGTGTGACCGGCTGAAGCTGGAGCGCAAGCAGAGACGCATGTGCCGCAGAGACCCAGGCGTGGCTGAGACGCTGGTGGAGGCGGTCAGCATGAGCGCGCTGGAGTGCCAGTACCAGTTCCGGTTCGAGCGCTGGAACTGCACATTGGAGGGCCGCTACCGGGCCAGCCTGCTCAAGCGGGGTGAGTGCGCGAAAGGCGCTCCGTAGCAGGATGTCCCCGGGGCCTCTGTGCCTCTGGCTGGCCCCAGGGAACCTGGGGGTGTGGTGAGGACATGGCGGGGCTTGACTGTCCTCCTGCCCCGCTCCCTAACGGCTGCTCCTCCACTTGATTCGCCCTTCCATCCTGACCCATCCCTCCCTCCTCCTGACCCCATGTACCTGCCGCTAGGACCTCTTCTGCCCTGCTCCTCCGGTCTGGCTCCTCTGTCCTGCTCCGCCCTGCTTCCAGATGTGCGGAGTCCACCTCCTGCCCCGCCCCTCCTGCCTGGCCATGCCCCTTTCCCCCACCACCCCCCCCCCTAGCCCCCCCCCCACCCCCCCGCCCCCCGCCTCCCCCTCCCTGCCCCCTTTAGCCTCCTTCACCTGCCCTGCCCCTTCCTCCTGGCCCCGCTCTGCCCCGCCCCCTCTAGCCTCCTCCCCCCCCTCCCCGCCCCGCCCCCTTCAGCCTCCTCCACCTGCCCCGCCCCTCCCGCCTGGCCCCGCCCCTTCCCCAAACCGCCCCCTCTAGCCTTCTCCACCTGGCCTGCCCCTCCCACCTGGCCAGCCCCTAACCCTACCCTGCCCGGTTCCTACCCCGCCTCTAGCCGAGCCCCTTCTCGGGGACCAGTTGCTGGCAGCAGGAGGCCTTTGGGCAGCTTTGGCAGCTTTGATGACTCTTGCCACTTGGCGGTGACTGATGCCCAGCGGCTGGGCAGGAGGGGCAGAGGTCCAGCTGGTGCCCTGAGGATAGAGCCTTCTTTCTCCTGTGTCCTTGGGATTTTGATTGGAGCTTCTCAACGGCCTCATTTAAAAACTGGGGACCTGAGGCCCAGGGCAGGCAGGACAGGGCTCTCCAAGGCCCGCAGCCAGTCTGGTGGGTGGGAGACCCAGAAGGACGAGGTCGCTGGTCCCTGCGTAGAGCCTAGGTCTCCACGTGCTTTGAATCCTCTCTCCACCCCACTCTGGGCCGGGGCACACGGGAGTGCCTCCTCCCTGCAGGTGTGCAAGGCAGTCCAGGCAGGTACGCCCCCAGCCAAGGTGAACGCCAGCGAGGACCCTTTCCATGCACCCTGCTTGTGCTCAGGGTTCAGGGCTCCAGCTGACCTGCCGTGGTTTGGCCACACCTGGGTCAGGTGGGGGTGCTCCCGTGGCCTCACAGGCCCTAAGGTCCCTGCATCCCCACCCGCCCCCCAGGCTTCAAGGAGACCGCCTTCCTCTATGCCATCTCCTCGGCGGGCCTGACACACGCCCTGGCGAAGGCGTGCAGCGCCGGCCGCATGGAGCGCTGCACCTGTGACGAGGCCCCAGACCTGGAGAACCGTGAGGCCTGGCAGTGGGGGGGCTGTGGGGACAACCTCAAGTACAGCAGCAAGTTCGTCAAGGAGTTCCTGGGCCGGCGGTCGAGCAAAGATCTGAGAGCCCGCGTGGACTTCCACAACAACCTCGTGGGTGTGAAGGCAAGCGGGGTGGGGCGCGGAGGGGTGTGGAGGGGGGTGTGGGGCGCGGGACTGCGGCCTGGGGGCTCTCAAGTGACCAGGAGGCTCCTGGTCTTACAGGGATGACTAGCTGCAGCTGCGTTCTTACGTGGGATGGGGGTTGGGCTGTAAGGTCTGGTTGGGCCCTTCTGGGGGCTGCGGGCAGCCAGCCAGCAGCCAGCAGGCTGGGTCTGGGGGTGCCTGGCTCCCACGATCCTCTGCCCTCCCTATAGCCCCTCAGCCCCCAGGGGTCCACAGCAGCGGAGGAGGCCTGGGGACAGAATGCCCATCCCCGTAGTCCCGTACAGCCTGGCCTTGAGGCTCCACGTGCTCACCAGGCAGCCCCTGGGATGTGAAGCCCTAGCCTGGGAGGGGTGAGGTAATTAGAGCCAGCCCGGGTCTGAGCCTCTCTTTATTGAGAAACCAGAGGTCTGAGTCCTGCACTCATTAAAGAATCAATTTCCCCCTTTTTCTTCAGAGCCCTTGTTCCTCCTTCTGCCCTCCGGAGAGGGGTGGGAGCAGATTAAATCCCCAAGGCGAGGCTACTTCTTTTTTTGGAGTTCTCTCCTTTGTAAACTATTAATGAAAAGTCAGGATATGGAAAGTGCTCCATTAGCTCTGCGGGGCCTGGGTAAGCAGCGTTTTAATTAAATTTGTCCGGGTTTCTCAGCAAAGTGTCATTAAATGTGACTCTTGTATTGCCTGGCCAGAGGGCAGCTACGTTCCTAATCCCCCTCAAGCCCACCGGCCCTCCCTGGGAGTAGCGTGGGAGCTCTGGCCTGTCTCAGGATAGGCCCCACTGGGGAGGGCCTCCCCTCTCTGCTGCCAGAGACCCCAGTGTGGGTGGTCAGGCAGGAGGCCCCTCCGGGCAGCCGTGCGTGCGTGTGTGTGTGTGTGCGCACACGCGTGTGCACATGTGGAGGTAGGGGTGCTGCTCCTCCTCTCTGGGGCCAACCCAGAGGATCTAGTGGCCAGTTCTACCAGGTGGGCAAGCTAACTCATGTGTCCTCCCTTCTGCAGGAAGCAGGCTGCTGACACCAGACTGGGAGGTTCTGGGGCGGTGTTGCTATCAGGGTGACAGGGGTGGCGTGCTCAGCCACCTGCAGAGGGCAGCCCTGGATGCAGGGAGGGACTGTCTGCACAGGAGGCCTCCACTCTGGAGGTCATAGCACAGGATGGAGGACTTCTGTCCTGGGCCACCTGTGGCTTGGAGGAGAGAGGGACAGACAGACACATGAGCTGGGGAGCCTGGTGATCCCCCAGGTGGGGTTGGGTCTAGGGGAGCTGGTCATCTGCAGGGGCTGTTCCTGGCTTCACAGTGTGGCCCTCATGCCCAGCTCCCTTCCCCACCTCCCCCCCCACCAGGTAATCAAGGCTGGGGTGGAGACCACATGCAAGTGCCACGGAGTATCGGGCTCCTGCACCGTGCGGACATGCTGGCGGCAGCTGGCGCCCTTCCACGAGGTGGGCAAACGCCTAAAACACAAGTACGAGACGGCACTCAAGGTGGGCAGCACCACCAATGAAGCCACCGGTGAAGCCGGTGCCATCTCTCCGCCTCGGGGCCGGGCGGCAGGGACAGGCGGCAGCGACCCGCTGCCCCGCACGCCGGAGCTCGTGCACCTGGATGACTCGCCCAGCTTCTGCCTGGCCAGCCGCTTCTCTCCGGGGACCGCAGGTCGCAGGTGCCACAGGGAGAAGAACTGTGAGAGCATCTGCTGTGGGCGTGGCCACAATACACAGAGTCGGGTGGTGACACGGCCCTGCCAGTGCCAGGTTCGCTGGTGCTGCTACGTGGAGTGTAGGCAGTGCACACAGCGTGAGGAGGTCTACACCTGCAAGGGCTGAGCTCCCGGTCCGGCCCGGCCTGGCTGGTGCAGGGTAGAGGCTGTGCGTGCAGCACTGGGGGTCTGCACTTGCAGGGGCTGAGCCCCCGTCAGGCCCAGCCCGGCTGCTGTAGCGTAGAGGCTGTGTGTGCAGCACGGGGGTGTCTACACCTGCAGGGGCTGAGCCCCCGGTCTGGCAGGGCCCAGCTGCTGCAGGGTGGAGATTGTGCGTGCCGGGTGAGGGGTCTGCAACTGCAGGGGCAGAGCCCATGGGCTGCAGCCCTCAGCACACTTGGCACATGGTGGCGGGAGCCCAGACATTGGCTGACTTGGCTGTCTCTGCCCTTTGTCCCCCCTCCAGAGACCCAGAGGTGGGGAGTGGCCCTGGTCTGGCCCCTGCATCCCCGTTGTCCGCCCCCTCCCACTGACCTGAGAGCATTGTACAATGCTTTCCAAACTCTGTCCATCCCTAAGAGGCCAGTTCCTGCAGAGCGAAGACCCTCCCTGCTCTGGGCTCCTTCGGAGGAGCAGCAGGTGCACCTTTGTGACCACACAGGGTCCTTGTGCAGCTGCCTGTGGGCTGTCCTGCTCCAGCACTGGCTTAGAGAGTCAAACCACTAGGAGAGAGACAGCCCAGCCACCCAGGTGTGCGGGGGCGGAGGGGTTCCCTGCGGTCCCTTCTTACATGGAGCGCTTCTCTCGGGAGTGATAGCGGTGACTTTTAAATTATTTTTATTTAACTAATATATAATTATTACTTGTCCATCCCTGCCCTGTCTCAGGCTGCAGCTCCCCCTACTCCTGGCGGAGCCCGGTCTGGAAGGCCCCTTTCCTCCCTCCCCTCGGTGTCCCCTGCTAACCTCTTTGCCTGATCTGCTTTGTTGTTTGAAACCACTAAATCAAGAGGGATGTTGCTGTTGTTGTTTTTCAAGTAGTAAAGCAGGTTGTGTCTGGCCACTGCCTTCAGGGCTTCTGGGAGCCAGGTGTCTGTAGCCAGGCTTGCTGCCCCTAGTGAGACTGTCCTGGGAGTTGGGCGGACCCTGCTCTGGGCGACTTCGGGCATTCAGCCCTGCACTCCAGGCCTTCCTATGTAGGTTTGGAGGCCACGGGTGGCCAAGGATGGTCTGCCCTCCCTGCAGAGGTGGGCATAGCAGAGGGGAAAGGATAGCCCCTGGGAGGGATCCTTTCATAGCTTGCTTTGTGTTACTGCAGGAGAAGGCAGTGGATGGTGACAATCCGGGGCTAGGATTTGGCAAGCCGCAGGCTGTTCTCCTTGGCCATGCTATTGTCTTTGCAGGAAAGGAAAACAGATGGATTACACTGATCTGGTTTGGTTTGAGTGTGTGTGCATGTGGGCACGAGTGTATATATGTGCATGAATGCGCACGTGCATGTGAAGTGTACGTGTGCATGAAGGCACCTGCATGTCTGTGTGTGTGTTGTGTGCTCGTGTGTGACACATGTTATGTGTGTGCATGAGTGTGCCTGTGAGCACATGAGTGCATATGTGCTGGTGTGCATGCGTGTGTTGTGTGAGAACATGTGCGTGTATGATGCATATGTGGTTGTGTGTGCATGCACATGGGTGAGCGTGTGTGTGCAAATGTGTGCACGTGTGGTGTGTGTGTGGTTGTGTGTGCATTTGTGTGGGCGTGTGAACATGTGGGTGGTTCGTGTGTGGATGTGTGTTCACGCGTGTGTGAGAGTGTGTTGTGTATGTACATGAAGATGTGCATGTGTGGTACGTGTGTGGTGTGTGTCCGTGTGCGTGGGAGCGAGTGTTGTATGTAAATGTGTGTATGTATGGTTGTATGTGCATGTGTGTGTGAACATGTGCACGTGTGGTGTGTATGATTGTGTCTGCATGCACGTGTGTGAACGTGTGTTTGAAGTGTGCATGTGTGGTGTGTATGTGGTTGTGCATGCATGTGTGTGAGCATGTTGTGTATGTGCAAATATGTGCACTATGGTTGTGTCTGTGGATGTGCGTGGGTGAGTGTGTTGTGTGTGTGAATGTGTGCATGTGTGGTTGTGTGTGCATGTGTGTATGAGTGTGTTGTGGTGCATGAACGTGTGGATTTCTGGTTGTGTGTGCATGCACGTGGGTGAGTGTGTTGTGCATGTGATCGTGTGCACGTGTGGTTGTGTGTGCATGCGTGTGTGTGAGAGCGTGTTGTATGTGCACGAACACGTGGATTTGTGGTTGTGTGTGAACATGTGCATGTGTGATTGTGCGTACATGTGTGTGTGAGTGTGTTGTGTGTGCAAATGGGTACATTTGCAGTTTTGTGTATATGCATATGGGTAAACATGTTGTGTGTGAACCTGTGCATGTGTGGTGCGTGTGGCTGTGTGCCTGCACGTGGGTGAGTGTGTTGTGTGTGCGTGCAAACGTGTGGGTTTGCGGTTGTGTGTGCATGTGCGTGCGTGTGTGTGCATGCGCATGTGTGAGTGTGTTGTATGTGCGCAAATGTGTGGATTTGCGATTGTGTGTGCCTGCGCGTGGGTGAGTAGGTGTCCCCGCGTGTGTGGGCACGGTCAGTGCTCAGCTGGGGCATGGCCTCCACCCAGGGTCCCTCCTCCGCCTGAGACTGTCCTTCCCACACTGGTGTGAGCAGCAGCCGAGGCTCCTGGGTTCTCTGGCTCCAGGCCTGTCCCTCGGGGCTCTGTGGCTGTGCTCCAGGAGAGGCCCAGAGCTGGGTGGCAGTGCAAACACAGGAACTACTGAGTGAGGGGGTTCCTTGGGGTCCCATGGGCTCCAGGAACCCTGGGGACTGTGTTTTTCGAAGAAAACCTATTTATGTCAATATGGGTCTCTTGGTCCCTCTTTTATAGTGTAAATAGGAAAGTCTATTCTGTGGTTCCAAGAACACCCGTGAATAACTAGGTACTGACAGGGTGGGCGGGGCCAGAGCAGGTGGGTCCAGCCACAGCCCCAGGACAAGACTGCAGCTCAGTTGCTTCTGGGTCTGCGAAGGCAGTGCGTCGGAGGAAAGACCTCGTTGTAACCAGATACCACATTTAGCTCCATGTCATAAATGTAAAGGAAAGTATTTTTTGAAACAAGGCAGACTGGAAACGTCTGCTGGCTGGTGTGTTTATATATAAATATATATCAGAATATCTTGCTAAGCAAAGAAGCAACTCCTCCTGACAGAGCCTCTCACTGGCCTGCTTCCCTTCCATGCAGGGAGAGCCTCTAGAAGAATCTGTGCTCTGTGGCAGGGCATGGGGCCCCCTGGGCTCAGCCTCCCTGGGAAGGGGAGCAGGCGCAGGGAGGAGCCGCGCTGAGGGCCAGGTGGGTCCCAGCCACCTGCTCCCTGCCGGCCACGCGCGCGTGCACACACACACACACACACAGATATACACACACATACACATGCGAGGACTCCTGGCTGGGTTCAGCCAGGTCCACGCGGGGCGGGGGGGAGAGGGGCATTCACACCCGAGAACCGTCATCTCTGTGCGGAGTCTCGTGCGAGCCTATCTATTTCTCTACCTCATCTGTATAGCGAGTAGGTGTGTACTCGAATGACTTGGAGAATGTATTTATTTAACGGCTTTGTGTAACAGAACAGAAACAAAATGGACACTAAATAAATGTATTTTAAATTATAGCCCCTTCTGAGTCTGCTGCCTTCAGAGGGGTTCTGAATGGCCTGACGGAGGAGTGCATTTGGAGGAGGGCCTGAGGGAGGAGTGTGTGAGGGAGGAGGGGCTGAGGGAGGAGAGCATGGGGAGGAGGGCCTGAAGGAGGAGGGGCTGAGGGAGGAGGGCCTGAGGAAGGAGGGTCTGAGGGAGGAGAGCCTGGGGGCGGGGAGGGGCAGGCTTTGGGAGCAGGAAGTCCCTGCAGACCAAGCACCACCCAGCCCACTACAGAGGTGGGATGGTGCTCTCTCCCTGGTTACACGTGAAGAGGCTGCTCCTCCCCTGTGCAGAGGCTCCTCTCAGAGGTCCGGTGAAGCAGGAGACGGGCCCCTGGGGCCCCTTTGTGCCCCACCGCTTCCAGGTCAGCCTCTGGTCCCAGCACAGCCTGCAGGCTGTCTAGTCTGCAGGGCGGGTCAGACAAGGCCCCACGTGTCCCTGGAGCCCCTGTGTTCGTGTCCAGGGGCAAAATGCCTCAAGTGAGGGCTTCCCGAAAGGGGAATTTCCCTCAACAAGCTGTGGGCGGGGCCTCACTCTGTCCAGAGGCTCCAGGGAAAAGGCCTTCCTGCCTCTCCCAGTGACTGGAGCCCCAGGCAACCCTGGGGTCATGGGCACTCCACCCAACCCCCACCTCCAGCTCCATCTCTCCAGTCCCTTGCTGGACACCTGTCCCCAGAGGCAGGACTGGGCAGACTCTCCAGGATGCTTTCATCTTGGCCTTTCCAAATAAGGTTACATCCTGTGGGTAAGATGGGTATGAACTTGGTGGCTTGGGCGTGGGTGGGAGGGATGCAGGACCTAGGCCTGCACTGGTGAGGGATAGAGTGTGCTCTCTGCCAGGCTGGGGCCAGACAGAGCATCCTTCTGTCTGTGGGGCCACTGTTCCCTCCTTAACTCAAGGCTGTGTCCTTTGGAGGGCAGTGAGGAGAGCCCTTGGGCTGCTGGGGGACAGGCCTGTCTCTGCACACACTGGGCCCCTGCCTCAGCTGTCCTTTCCCTGCCCTGGGGGGAGGTGACCCTGCAGGCGATGACCCCAGCGTTCCCTCCCTTGCCTCAGGGCCTGGTGCCTTCTCTCCCAGGGCTGGGTCTCTGACATGGCCCGTCCATTTGTCCAGAGGCCTGCTGCGTCTGGGGACTTCCAGGCATAACAGACCCTCCCTCCGAGAGTTGGTCCCCAGCGCCTTGCCCCTCTGCAGGCCTAGGTCTTCCTTTGAGCCCACTTTGTGTGACTCCCACTGCTGTGACATACCTTTCTGGACCCCTGGGTCCCCTTGGCTGGGAGCTTGCCTCCCTGCCTCCTTGGTTTTCCTCCACCCCTCAAAGCCCCAGGGACCTGGGCTGCCTGCCAGAGGAAGTGGGATAATCTGTTCAATCCCGGTGCTCAAGCAGAAAGGTCTGGGCGCCTGCCCTCTGGCCCCATGGCTCCCAGTAAGAAGAGGCAAGGGG